CCGGAGCGGCAGGGCAGGCAGACACTGGAGCAGTAGTCGGAGCAGCCGGAGTCCCAGCGATTCGCGAAGCCGCAGCACGTCAGCTTCTCCAGCAAGAGAGAAACTGCTGAGGCCTGCAGCTTCCCCAGCTGTGGGGGAGAAACTGAAAAAGTGAGTGTGTGGCCGAGCTCTCCCCCGGCCTCCCTCCTGCGTGCTGTGGGGCTGTGAGCCCTGCCACAGGAGGGGCTGGGGAGCGCTGGCACTGGGCAGGGTGCGGAGGGAAAGGAGGCAGCTGCCCGGGACGGGGGTGGTTAGAAGTGCTGGGCGTGTCACCCTGCCGGACGAGGACCGTCTGCGCCACGAGGCGTCTGATCGCTGCTCTTCTCCCCCTCTAGGGCTGACACTGCTGGTGGTAAAGAGACAGGAGCTGCCAAAGTCAGTAAGAATTTAACCTCACCTGTTTAATTCACATCACTGCAGCAAAACTAAGGGACCCCGTAGTTCCCGGGAGTGAGGAGATGCAGGGACTTGCGTGAAAATCGGGCTCTTTGCTTGTGTTGGAAACCAAAGCTTCTCCCGGTCGGGCTCCTCAGAACCGAGACTGTATAGCAGCCGGCGTAGGCAAGCGCCATCAAGCCTGCCTCTGGGCGAGGGGTTAACAGCCGTCTCAGCTCTGAGTGACGTGGGGGGCAGTTTCGGGTCCCTGTGTTCCTGGGCACAGAGGACACCTCTCCCCCTCCTGGCTCCACAGAGAGCCCATGCCGCTGGCTACTAGCCCATCTGTAGTGTGGGGCATGGGGTTGGCCTGCATTGGGGCCAACACAGGTAACCCACCGTCAGTGACCCCTGTAAGCAGATGAATCTGTGTCCTGTAGGGCCCTGGCTAAGCTGGGTTGCAGGGGGGCCAAGCTTTGGAATTATTGCTGTCCGTGTAAACCACTCTGGTGCTTCAGTCCCTCCAGCTGCTTAATCCCCTGGGACAAACTCCTGGGACAGGCCCCCTGTTCAGCTCCTGGGACAAACCTCCTGGTGCTTTCGCAACTGGGGATTCCTGCATCACTCTGGTGCCTGCTGCCCATAGGCCGGAGCAGCGAGCCCCAGGGCGAGGCTCCTGATGTAAAGCACGGCCCTGGCTCCCAGCAGAGCTCCTAGGAAGGCGTTCCAGCCACAGAGGGAGGTGCTGGATTCTTCAGGGTCATTCGTTTCATGGCCACATCAGCCCATGGTGGCTCCTGTTGGCCCTTGTGTCCTTGAGGTTCCCAGGTGCGCGCTGGCGCTCCAGGAACGGGCAGCAGGCTCTTGGCTCTCCTCCCCGTGCCTGGGAAGGAGCGGCACCCCATGAACTCCCTGTTGTTTAGATCCTAAGGCTGGACCCCCAGGGAAGCAAGGTGCCCCATGTGTGGGTGGGCAGCAGGATGCTCTGCAGAGCAAGGGTGCAAGTACTATTGGGGTTACCCAGGCCCCCCACTGCCTGCCGCTCTGCAGGCCGTCTTCATGCCACCACTACCGCAGGGAGCTGGCATGTGCTGCTCAGGCTGTCAGATACCCGGTGTGTGTCAGAAGGGAGTGAGCCAGAGGTGTAGATGGGCCAGGCACATTCCTGGTGGGGAGCTGTGTCTAGCCCCAGGGCGACTGTCAAACATGTTTCCTTCCCTGCTTAATGCGCTGGGCCAATCCATCAGATTTGCTAAAGCACCAGGGAAGTGTCAATCAACATGACTGACAGCCGCAATCCGCACACTCAGTCTGTGGACAAGTGTCTGCACAGCTAACAGAAGTGGCCCCCAGGCCATCGGTGAATGGCGCTGAGGCTAGGCTAATGCCACGGGTGTTAGACACACGTCCTTGGCCAGAATCCCTGGGAGAGATCAGCGCTGTCCCCAGAGACGCGAGGTCCCTCTGACCCTGCCTGTGTGAACTCCTGGTGCCAGGGGTCAGGCGAGCGCCAGGCTGAGCGGGGCAGTCACGTAGCAGCTGCCCCGTCATGGGCTGATCCGTCTTGCCAGAAGAGCACTCCCGTGGCCTTACCCTGATGCAGTGCAGTGGTCCCATGCCACTGCAGAGTGGGGGTCAAGGCCTGGGTGCGCTCTGCTGGCAGTGGCACCCTCGGTGCTGGAGGGCTCACCTGGCGGTAGCCTGTAGCTTGTGGCACAATGCTGCCCAGGCCACATGCTGAGCAGAGTGAATTCCCGTGTGAGGGTGGAGGATGTTAGATCAGAGGGTTGGTTTCCTTCGCTCTAGGGAGCCCGAATTGTGGCATCGAGGGCCTTGCTGCCAGCTGGCCTTGAGCTCTTGGGCTTCCCCTAGCTGGTATGGAAAGCTGCGCACGCTAGCAAGCCCCTGCAGTGCTGCTAGTGCTGGTCTCCTCCTTGGCTGCATCAGCAGACACAGCTGGCGGGGCTGAGTTCCCCCAGGCCCCAAGCCTTTAGAAGAGCAGCAGCCTCTGCCCAGTGCCTGGCCCCATCTTTGCTAGGACAATGGAGGGTCGCCCTTAGCCCCTACAAGCCTGAGAGTGGGTCCCTGCTGGCTGGGTTGTGTATTCTCCTCACTGGTGAAGCCTCTTGTTTCTGGCTGGCTGGCCATAGGGTGTGCTAGAGACCAACCAGGGTGCCGTCTCCCACGGGACACTGCAGACCAGGAGGTTGAGGCGGGTGGGGCTTGATCAGTCTGCAAATACCTGTGTGGGGAAGCAATGTTTAATAACGGGCTCTTCTGTCTAGCAGCGAAAGGTCTAACGCGGTCTGATGGCTGGGGTTGAACTAGACAAGTTCAGATGGGGACAGGGTGGGTAAATAACCATCGGGACAGCTTGCCAGTGGTCATGGCAAATTCTCCGGCTCTGGAACTTTGAGATCAAAATTGGAGGGTTTTCTAAAAGCTGGTTCTAAGAAATAGTCCTGCCTGGCCTTGGAATCTACAACTCTGTAACCGTGGTCAAAGGCCTCGAACTCCTGGCTGGAAGGAGTGAAAATATCCGGTTTGATTCCGTAGGGGGTGTTCACACTGCAGTTAGAAGTGGGATCACTGCAGGCTTTGATCTAGCTACCTTGCACCCTAGCCTTGCTCGAGCAGCGGGTCCATGCCTCTACCCCTGCTATTGGGAATTCTGCACTAGCTAACTTTGATCAAGTTCAGTCAAAGCCTTGAGCGTGTCTCCAATCTCGCTCTCTGACTGCAGAGTAGACATTCCGCTAGAGAAGGTGAATAAGAGGTGACAAAAGAGAGTCTGAATTGCTGACTGGTCAGGAAGGGAGATGGGGAGCTTCGCCCTGTCTCCCAGCATTAGAACGAGGGGACGTTTCCGTGACATTAGAAGGCGCTAATTGAAAACGGATGAAGACAGCCCTTGGAAGAAAATATGGGCGTTGATCTGTGGAACTCAATGACACAGGATATTGCTGAGCCCCAAAATTTGGCAAGATGCAATGAAAGACTGGCATTTTTGTGGCTGACAAGAATATCCTGAGTTAGTCTAGTTAACACAACGTAGGAAGAGAGGGAGAATCTCCTTCAGGGCCTAAATCAATCTCTATGTGTCAAGAATCAGGATGAGACCTGCCAGAGCAAGTTGCTCCCCGGTTCCTGTCTCTTTCTCAGAGGCGTCTGGTGTAGGCCTGTGTTGGAGAGGCCTTCCCTGGATCTGATCCTGTCTGGCAGTGCCCACGTTCCTGTGCCTTTCCATAACATGTCTCTGTTTGACCCCCTTGTAGCCAAAGCTGACTCCACAGGAGAAGCTGAAGTTGCGAATGCAGAAGGCCCTCAACAGGCAGTGTAAGCAGGATCCCTTCATTGTGCCATTTGCTTGCCACTCTGGCCTGGCCTCACGGCAAACGCTTAAAATCTCAATCTCTCTCTCTCAGTCAAAGCCGACAAAAAGGCAGCGCAAGAGAAGATGATGCAGCAGGAGCATGAAAGGCAGGTATGTGACCCAGCACCATGACGTGCGTCTTCCTGTGCCTCTGCCTCTGCCGCTAACCACGCGGTTGTGCCACAGCTCCCATTTCACACCCCGGGGTTGCTCCAGCCGATTGGAAAGGCCTCTCCCCGCACCCCTCTGCCTAGTTAGGAGGGCTCAGAGCTGTCGCCCCAGAGCAGGGCTTGCGTGCACCCTGGCGATGGGGCAGGGGCGGGGAGCGAAGTTAAGGGAGCACTGCCATGCTGAGTGTGTGTGTGTGTGTGTGTGTGTGTGTGTGTTTTGGGGTTCACCCTGAGCTGGGGGGCTCTGTCACAGCCCAGCTCTGCCCACAGAACGAATGTGCAGTGGCTGCCTGTGCACGGCGTGTGACGTCTGCCTGATCCCTGCCTCTCTCTTTCAGGAGCGGGAAGATGAGCTGCGAGCCATGGCCCGGAAAATCCGAATGAAGTAAACTCTCTTGCTTCCCCCGTTGTCCTCTGGGCGTGTTCTCTGCCGGGTGGGCGCTAATCCCTCGTTTCTCTGCAGGGAGCGAGAGCGGCGAGAGAAGGAGCGGGAGGAATGGGAAAGGCAATACAGCAGGCAAAGCCGGTCCCCGTCCCCGCGATACAGTGAGTAGCCACAGCGTGGCTGTGCCCTGGCAAGGGACTCCTGAGCTGCCAGAGTGGGGAGGGAAGGAGCAGGGGGCAGCTGCTTCTTGGGAGCTATGGGCAGATCTGGAGAGAGCTGCTCCGTGCTGCAGTGGCTAGGAGCTAAGCTGGGAAGCGATGCCATGGTGCATGTGTCCAGCAGCTGTCACTCTGCATCCTCAGCATGCGCTCTGCACGCTGCCTCGGGTCCCAGAGGCTAGGCCAGGGGTGGGCAATAATTTTGGGGGGGGGAGGGGCCAATCTAAGATTTTGGAAAGTGGTTAAGGGCTGCACCTCTTTCATGGTATTAATGGAGGACGTGCAGGGTCTGGGATGGCGGTTGGGTGCAGAAGGGGGCTAGGGGTAAGGAACTGGGGTGCAGAGGGAGTGTGGAATCGGGCAGGCCTGAATCCAGCCCATGAAGCGTATTTTGCCTGGCCCTGGTCTAGAGGAAGCCAGGCCTAGAAGGGAAATTCCCTGTTGTTTGGCTTGTACATCAGCTTGATGAAATGGTTAGAGGGGGTGTGAGGGTAAGAGGGGGACAGAGGATTTGGGTATGTTGAGTCGGGGGGTGCAGAGAGTTGTGGTAGGAAAGGGCTGGGGTGCCAGGGGCAGGCTGTGGCCTAGAGACTTACTTGCCAACTGCCAAACTAGCCTGCCTGCCTGCAGAGCTTGCCTGGCCATGGGCTTCATGAATAACTGAGTCAAGGAGGGGGGTGTGGTGGTTCTTAGCTGCCTGTTATTCCAACAGCAGCTCCCATTGTCTGGTTTCTGCAGCTCCTAAAACTTCCCCCCTCCCCTCCAGTTTTAAAACAGAAGCGGAGCCCTGCAGCCGCGTTTCTGCACAGGGCTTCAGGGCAAGCTGGGGAGCCTGCCTGGGGCTCCCTGCTGCCTCCGTGGGCCGGATCTGGTGGCTTGGTGGGCCCGGTCTGGCCTGTGGGCTGTGTGTTGACCCACTTTAGAAGCGGCCCCTGATTTTTCACTTGAGCCCCACACTCCCAGAACCTTTGAGGTTGGTCTCCTGCCCCCAGAGCAGCCCCTGGGGGGTCCGGGTGTGAGGCAGTGTGCTCTGCAAGGTGGGTGCTTGTGCAGCCGCTCATGCCACCCAGCTGCTCAGCAGAGCGCCTGCCGCTTGGTTTGTTTGTGGTGGTGCACGTCCGCGCACGCCTCCGTGCGCACACAATCTGTTCTGCACGTGGACGGGAAAAATGAGTTGGTCTCCTGCCCCCAGAGCAGCCCCTGGGGGGTCCGGGTGTGAGGCAGTGTGCTCTGCAAGGTGGGTGCTTGTGCAGCCGCTCATGCCACCCAGCTGCTCAGCAGAGCGCCTGCCGCTTGGTTTGTTTGTGGTGGTGCACGTCCGCGCACGCCTCCGTGCGCACACAATCTGTTCTGCACGTGGACGGGAAAAATGAGCGGGAACATTGGGAGGGGGGAAGCGTGGTGCGTGGTGCATGCTGTCCCTGGGCAGTAGTGCCATTTGCTTGCTTCCGGCCTCCCTGCCTGCTCATGCTGCCGGAGGGCCAGTGCCCCATGGAACCCTGCCATAGACAAGGCGTCCCTTTTCCCCAGGACAGAGCTGGGTCAAGATGAATAAGAATCAAGACTTTAGATTGGGGCGGGCAATAATTTTTGCCTGGGGGCCACCCCGGAAGGGGCGGGGCTACCCCACTCCCAGACCATGATTGGTTTGGGGGTGGGGAGCCCTTGTGCCACCCTTCCCACTAGGCACCCATGTGTGGAAGAGGCTTGGCATTCTCCCCCACCCCCAGGCCAATCAGGGCCTGGGGGCAGGGGAGTGCGGGAAGCTGCCTCCCGCCCTGCGAGGAGCTTGTGGCACTTTGAAGTGCCGCAGGTTCCTTGCAGGGAGGGGGAAGGGCGAAGGAAGCTTCACGCAGCTTCCCCTGCCCCCAGGCCCTGATTGGCCTTGGGGGTGGAGGAGCAGCAGGGCCTCAGCGGGCTGGATCCACCTGCTTGGCGGGCCAAATCCGGCCCACGGAGGCCCTTTTGCCCACCCCTGTTCTAGGTTGTATGTGAAGGTTGAAGAGTGTAATCCGCTTGTTCTGGCTCCGGCTGGCTGGCAGTTTGCTGCCCCGTTAGACGCTCCAGGTGTAAAGCGCATGTCTCGCGGTGGACGCTGCAGTCTGAGGTTGGGCGGTTTCAGAGCTAACGTCCTGGCTTTCTGCTAAGATGGGTCCCTCTTAAAACGCCCCTGTGCGGAGAGGCTGGTCAGCATCATTGTGCACCACAGCCCATGCCCCGGGGCACCAAAACGGCCCATGCGAGCGTTGCAGCAGACCCCTCCTTCCCAGGCAGCTCCTGGATTCAGACAGCAGCCTGGTCCCTGGGGCTTGGGTTCTGACGTTGTGGGAGCTTCTGGGGAACCTCGCTACACAGGTGCCTAGATAGGTCCCACCCTAGGCTCCTGCTTTGGAAGATATTGGCCTGTGTGTTTAGGGAAAAGCCAGCTCTCAAGTCCTTGCGTTCGTAGACAGCCAGTGCGTGAGACTTTGTTCAGAGGGACCCAGTGGTGGTGCTGAGCGACATCGTAATGAAACTGCTGCCGTAGCCTGGCGCTCATCAGTAGTAGCAAAGGGGTCTGTGTGAGCCGGAGCCCCCATCCCTGTTTGCAGGGCACGGCCTGTGCTGTTCAGTATGGCCCTTCCCCAGAGCAGCTGGTGGATCTCCCTGTCAGCAGCAGCACTGAATCCCCTTCGGTCACTGTAACCCAGCGCAAGCGTGGAGGGATGGCGGTCCCAGCTGAGAGCTGCCGGAAATGCTCTTCTGCTCTGCAGAGCAACTGGGTGACCCCTCTCCTGGCTGCCGAGTGGTGGTGCCCACAGGCGAGCTGCCTCTCCTAACCCTGTGCCCACCAGCGCAGAGGAGTCATCTCTGAATTGTAACCTGGGTCTTTGCTTTGCAGGTCGGGATTATGGGTCGTCCAGGAGGTAGGTTGTGTCTCTGCACCTGGGATGAGGTAACCAGCCACCTGCAGCTCCCAGCCCTGCTCCTGGAGAGCTGTTAGCAGCCATTCCCTAGCCTTGGGGCTGGCGGCCTCCAGAACCATTCAGGCTCCCTCCCCATGTCCTCACAGACCTGGCATGCTCTGCTGCCAGCGACAGCAGCACCGCCAAAATGGGTAGAAAATGACAGCCAGAGTGAAGAGATTGGACCCAAAACCTGCCTTTTGTCTCCTGGCACCCTGCTGGCTCCTCCGGCCGCTGCCTCTGAGGCTGCTGGCCCCACTCGCGCCCCTCCCCTGCCCTCAACACCCTGCTGGCTCCTCCAGCTGCTGCCTCCCAGGCTGCTGGCCCCACTCCCGCCCCTACCCTGCCCTCAACACCCTGCTGGCTCCTCCAGCTGCTGCCTCCCAGGCTGCTGGCCCCACTCGCGCCCCTCCCCTGCCCTCAACGCCCTCGGGCTCCTCCGAGCCCACTCCATACAAGTGGAGGCAGGGTGTGTCCTAGCCCTGCAGCAGCGAAGGGCAGCGCAGCCTTGGCCGAGGAAGGCCCGGCGTGCCCGTGACAGCTTGTGCAGAGCAGTTGCACGTGTGGCAGGAATGGGGGGAGCTGTCACTCTGGGGTGCTGCTCAGTTGGGGCAGGCAGCACAGCCCCTTTGTCCAGCTGGGGCCCAGTTGTCCCCTCCAAGTTCAGAGGGAGGGAGTCAGGAGCGCAGTGCGGCCTGTGCCAGGGCCAGAGAGCTTGCGGGGGCGCTGCTGCCCCTGTAGGAAAGGCAGAGTGCTGTCTGGCTGCCAGCGTAGGCCCTCCTAACCCCAGCCTGACCCTCGCTGCACACTTCCCCTCCTTGCTCTAACCAGCCTGTCTTCTCCCTCTGCAGGCGTTCACGCTCCCGGTCCAGAAGCCCTCACTACCGCCATTAGTGCGTGGGTCCCAGCGCAGCGCGGGTCCCGGTCCCCCTGCTGTGGCGGGCGCTGCAGGCCCCAACCCTGCCGTGTAGCAAAGCTGTACATTGCTGTTCTGTTTTTAAGATGCCAGCGTCGGATAATAAAAACAAATCCTCCTTAGCTCTTGCAGCAGCCTTACGTTGGGCATCTGGAAGGAGGCCTCAGCAAGGACCTGCATCCTCGCCCAGGGAAACTGGAGCTTTCCTGCGACGCAGGGCGGGGGGAGCGGAGCCTTGTTCGAAGGGGAGTGGGTGAGTGAGCAGTGCGAGGCCACCAACGCCCCACCCTGGGAATCGTCGCTGTGGGACATAGCTGTCGGCTGTGCTTCCCCCCTCCGAAAGGCTGTGGCCTGCCCCTGCAGCCAGCAGGAAAGGGGGAGGAGTAAGGCTTGGAGGACATGGAGGCTTAAGCTCTGGCTTTCCTAAGGAAGTGCCAGCTCTCTCCACCCTCTGCTGGATGGGCAGGTGAATGCTCTTAGGGTAGGCGGGCCCAGTGTGCTAAAAGGCCAGGCTCCTTCCAGGGCTCGGGGGTCTCCATGCACTAGCCTGGGCCTTTTCTCAGACACAAGTTCCATTCCAGTCGGGTGGCTGGACTTGTGGCTACTGAACTTATAAGGTGGAAGTTTATCCGCTGTAAGTTGGGTTTAAACTGATGGACAAGTTTAAACCGGAACAACTTGTGTGTGTACAGGTCAGAATCCAAACCAAGCGCCAGCTCTGGTAATACAGCCTGCCATTACCTCACTCCTTCAATGCCTCCGTCCCACTGGGACGAGCCTGGGTCACAACACAAGAATTTCAGTTCATAGGACTTTGAGAGATTTAGTCTAGTTTCCTGTACTCCTAGCAGGACGAAGTATTATCTGTACCCTCCCTGCCAGGTGTTTGTCTAACCTGCTCTTAAAAATCTCCGAGGAGGGAGATTCTGCAACCGCCCTAAATAATTTATCCCAGTGCATCACCACCCTGACAAAGCTTTCCCTAAACTGCCCTTCAGTACAAGCCCATTGTTTTTGTCCTCTCCTATTAGAGATTTACGGAACAGTTTTTTCCCTCTTTGTAAAAGTCTTTTTGTCCTTAAAAATGGTTCTATCCCCTCTTTCTTCTCCAGACTAAATTATCCTCATTTTGTTAGTCTTCCCACACAGGGCATGTTTTCTAGGCTCTGAACCTTTGCAGACTACTGTATCCCTTTCAGGAATCTGACTTGTCTTGCATTCCCCCAAGTTTCACCTCATTTCAAAAAAATACTTGCTTACAAAATCAGACATAAAAATACAAAATGTTCCAGCACTGTGGCTTACCTTCTCATTTTTTACCATACAATTATAAAGTAAATTAGTTGGAATATAAATATTGTACATTTCAATGTATACTACACAGCGGTATAAAAAAGTTGTCGTATGACATTTTAGCATGTGATGAATTGCTAGTGTCTTTATGTAGCCTGTTAAACTAGGCAAATATCTAGATGAGTTGATGACCCTCAGGAAAAGCTCTGAGTACCCTAGGGATACACGTATCCCTGGTTGAGAACCACTGTTCTAGAACTTTCACCATTTTTGTTGCTCTTCTCTACTTTCTTCTGTTTGTCCCTTGCTTTCATGAAATGTGGCACCTAGAACTGGGACACAGCAGAGTTCTAATCAGCAGAGTAGAGCAGGAGAGTCACTTCTTGTGTCTTGCTCACAACACTCCTATTTGTTTGAGCTGGCTGGTAAAACCTGTGGGGATGATTTGCATGTTTAGGATGTTAAAAACCAATGGTTGTAACCTATTTGAGTAGGGGGAATCAAATGGGCAGAAGGGGAGGGAAACTACAGGTCAACTTTTTAGACAATGATTACAGCAGAAAGTGATAGTGAATGTGTATGGGTCAGTGTCTAACAGATAAAGCACAAGAGAGTATCCAATGGTGTCTGCTGCAGCACACACACTAGGTGTGGAAGGAGCCAGCCACCCTGTTCCTGATCTATAATATGTAGAGAGAACACTGATCATGGGAGATTTCAGGTGGAATGACATATATTAAAGATCTCATGCTGTCTGAATTAAAACATTTTGTTTTTCTTGGGGGGGTGGCAGGGATTGCTGCTTGACTCCTCTGCTATGTAGCTTTTCTTAATGGCCTGGAACAAAACGAAATCACTGATAGTTTGCAGATGACACAAAATGGGGTAGAGGTAAAAAAGGAAGAGGACAGGCCAGTGATTCAGAACAAGCTGTATTGCTTAATAAACTGGGTGGAAAGAAACAATATGGCTGTGTCTACATTGGCATTGTGCAAAAACATGCTGCCTGTCTACACTGGCGGGGAATTCTTGCGCAAGAACACTGACATTCTAATGTGTGAAATCAGGGCTTCTTGCGCAAGAATTCCCCTGCTCCTGCTCAGGTATAAGCCCTCTTGTGCAACTGTTCTTGCGCAAGAGGCCAGTGTAGACAGGCAACGTGAATTTCTTGCACAAGAAAGCCCAAAGGCTAAAATGGCCACTAGAGCTTTCTTGCGCAAGAGAGCGTCTACATTGGCACGGATGCTTTTGCACAAAAGCACATGCCAGTGTAGACACTCTCTTGCACAAATACTTAACACAAAAACTCTTGCATTAAAAGTGTTTGCGCCGTCAGAGCCCTGTTTCTACTGAGCATGTCTGCCAGTCCAGAAGGATGTTGATAAATGGTCCAGCGTTTAGAGAAGAGTCACGAGGATGATTAAAGGATTAGAAAAAACTTTGTCTGTTACTGTGGGATAACTTGATCATAGTCTGTAAGACCTCAGTGGATTCTTAATTTAAACATTGTCAGTCATAACACCATACTCAACTGCAGACAGAAGGTCTCATAAATGTAATGAGGCCAGAGGTAAGGTGAAGACATTTTACAGTAGTAGTAGTAGTAGAAGTGCATGTAATGAACAGGAGAAAATGGAAATGCTATGGAGTGTGAGAAATTCTGAGCTGGTGAAATTTGGAATTGGCTGGAATATTACAATTGCTGGCTGCAGCCCAGGTAGGAATCTAAGGGACAGTAGTGGCCCTTACGTTATTTATCACCCCCAAATTTTTGAGCCATCTTTTTACGTTCTCTTCCAGGTCATTAATAAAAATGTTAAACAGTGGAGGACCAAGAACTGATTCTGAAAGGGCTTCCCTGGAAATGAACTTACTCGATTGCTCCCCGTTCAGTTGCATTTTGAGACAGCCAGTGTTTGATCCATTTAAAAGTGGTGGGTTGTGTTCATTTACACTCTTTTAAAAATCAAAGTGTGGAACAAAATCATCTGCCTTACAGAAATCTAAGTACATTACATCAACCCTCGTTCCCTTATCAACCAAACTTATCTCCTGAAAAAGGTTCGTTTGGCAGGATCAATTTTACATAAACCCCATGTTGCTATATTGTCTGCTGGTGGCGGGGAACAGGCACCACTGAGGAAGGGCAAAGACTTGATTAAATGCAAGATACTCATGAGACCCCGGCAATTAACTTGCACTGCTCACTTCAAAAGAGCAAACAAAAAAACACAGCGGGGCAGGGCTCCAGCCGTTGGAGCAGCCTGGCAGTAGACCAGCAGACGAGATTGCAGCCCTGCTGGAGTGGTCTGGGCCATGCTGGAGTGGTCTGGCAGGACCTTGGCCAGGCCAGAGCAGCACAGACAAGCAAGCAGCACTTGGGCTTTAGCTACTGAGTTGGCCCAGGCAAGTGGTGAGAACTCAGCCTCAGCTGCTGTCCAGCCCACAGTTAACTGGTATTTTAATTGTTAAACCAGTGAACTATTTAACAGTTCTTTACACCCTTGGTGCTAGGTGCTGTCATGTTCCTCTGGATTCCCAAGAACTGCAAACTATCAAACACAGTGACCAGTTAGCTCAGTTCCAAGTCATAGGGGTGGGCCAGATGCAAGCCCTGCTCCACTAACATTGATTCACAGAGTACATTAGCTTGCCAGCTTTCATTCCCAGCTGCTCTCCATCCAGGCCAATGCAGGAATATTTTCCCCCTGGAGGGGGGCAGGGTCCTTCTGCACTGCCCAGGGAACCAGAGAGATGGGATATTAGCTGCAACCTAAAAGAAATTTGAGGTGTGAAATCCTATTGCAGCCACTGGGCTGCCCCTCTGCCTGTGCCCGGGAGACTAGCAAGTGCTCAGCCTGACACCTTGCTCAGGTTCAGCTTAGTGTCTGTTCCATTTCATCCCATTACTTTTCAACCTTCCCTCCCCACAGGGGCTGACAACACGTCCTAGTTAGGATGTTAATTGGGTAACTGTGTAACTGCTGGAATTCTCAGTGGTTACATAGTTACATGCTGCAGGCTCTGCAGTATAAAGCTTACACTGCAGAGCCCAGAGCACAGCCAGCTACCCAGGAGCAGAGCCAGCAGGCCCTACTCCCAGGGAGCCAGCTGCACTGCAGGCTCTTCATTATAAGCCTTTAAACCAGCTCCTGGTGCATACCAACTCCCATCCCACTCGCAGGGAGCCAGCTGTGGCTTGATGGGAGCAACTACACCAAGAAGTACTCAGCAAGCTGTACCCAAGTGTTTTTATTAGACAGCAGGACAGAGGGAGGGCAGGGAGCCTGAGAGCCGTCACAACTCGAAGGTGTAGGCGATGATGTCTGAGCAGCGGAGCAGAGCCTCCCTGTGTACCCCCAGTGGGGTCTGCAGGTCAGACACCTGGAAATTCAAGATGTCGATGTCCGAGGCGTCGAAAAGGGCTGAGACATTGACTCTCTCATACAGGGTGAAGTGGACGAGGTGGCCAACCATGGCCAAGAGACTGTGCAGGTACCGCTCGCGCAGGGCCACGCGTCCCTGCTGCTCCTGTTCCAGATGGCCCTCCTTGCCGGGGCCGACAGTGGAGATGCTCATGGGGCTCAGAGCCTGGTATCGAG